CCCCCCTGTGGCATCAACAGGTCATAATGGCATTAAATGCCAACTGTCTAATATGATAAGCTTAACAATGTTTTTGTCATTTTGAGAATGTTAGCATGCCGACATTAGCATTTAACACATAACTGTACCTTTAGATCCTCAGCTTTGTTAGCTAATTACAATTTGAATCTATTTAAAAAAATATGTCAATTTAAAATATATGTTCAGATGGACCTTAGTACAATAGCACTAAGTTACAGTTTGGCAGCAGTTTGCTGATGCTTTTTTCAAATTAAATTAGAATTTGTCAGTATTTGTGAATCATTAGCAGCAGGTACATACAGTATAACACCAGAACAATATAGCATGGGCAAATAAAGGATGAATACTGCTCATCAGCTATAAAACCAACTAGCAGCTGCTGTAACTACAGCTCATGGTTACTTTGCTGTCTTCAAATAGTAACATATAAAACCTGTTTTGTTTTTCACCCTCTTGCCAGCCGCAGTAATGAACTCTGAAATCCTGAGGTTTAAATTACATAAACTTTGAACTTCTGATACTTTCTTGGATGGATAGTATACTTGGAGGTATTTAAAATAAACATACACATGACAGTGCTTGCTCCTGATGTGCCGTACCTGTTAATATATGATAATTAAATGAAATTTTAGACCCACTTTTATGAGGAAGCATGACACGCCACACCTGATATTTAAAGGCAATTCCCTGCCTCTGCCACTCAAATATGTTACACAGTCATGCCAGCCAACTCACACACACACACACCTGTGTGGCATTTCCTCAGGTGGGTCGTCTGATCATTGGACAGCATGGAATTATGTGCACGCCCGCCATATCCTGTGTGATCAGGAAATACAAAGCCATTGGTGGCATCATCCTCACTGCCAGCCATAATCCTGGTGGACCTGATGGGGACTTTGGCATTAAGTTTAATACTGCAAATGGAGGTATGGTAACTGGAGAGGAGGAAGCATGGGCATTGGCCAAAATAGTGTTACGAAAGAAGTCAGACATTTAACAAGGCTGTTCGAGGCTTAAGTCAGATATGTGGCACACACACACACACACACACACACACAGTACAAAGATAAAATATGAGACTTTGAGCATAAAATCTGGGACAAAGTTCAAGCACAACACACCACAGTTTAACCAATACACATCCTGCCTATGACTAGTATCATCACTATATTAAATAACTGTGGCTCTCACACATATGTGAACATCAGTGAAATAGTGAAATACAAAAGTTGTCCTACTGCATCTAGGTCCAGCCAAGGAGGAGGTCACAAACAAAATTTTTCAGATCAGCAAAACCCTTGATGAGTTTGTCATCTGCCCCAGACTCCGAGTGGATCTGACAACCTTGGGCAAACAGGCGTTTGATCTGGAGAACAAGTTCAAACCCTTCACAGGTGAAGTGTAGCACTGGTCAGTTGTCCATCGCTTCAGAAGGAAGACAGAAATAAATAGAGGCAAAAATGTAACACTTCTAAAATTCTGATATCATATGTAAAATCTGACTCATTTGCTTAATTGGTGACATGAAACAAGTTCATATTAAAGGGTCACTGACATTAATTACATCTTTGTTTCTCATTTGTGGTTATGCCCAGTGGAGGTTGTGGATTCTGTGGAATCCTATGCTAACATGTTGAGGAATATCTTTGACTTCGCTGCTCTGAAGGACCTTCTGTCTGGGGAGAACCACATCAAGATAAGACTAGATGCCATGCATGGAGGTGAGAGACTAGCATGTCATCTCATTAAAATAGTCTCCATCACACAGTAGGACAAAAAGGATTATCATGATCAAAGATACAAATTGGTCATTAGAAGATTCTTGACTGAGTTAGTTTCTTTGCTGTATTAAATGACATGTGACAAACTGAATAAAACCCCAACATGTTCAATTGGGTTGAGATAGTCAGTATAGTCTTTTCTTTTTGCTGCTGATAGCACCTCTTTGTACAACACCAGATCTGACTTCAGTATTGTTACTGTCCTTCTCTCATTCCTGTCTCTGTCACCTCTGTCTCCTCCCCAGTGGTAGGTCCTTATGTAAGGAGAATACTGTGTGAGGAGCTGGGCTGTCCTGCCAATTCTGCCATTAATTGTGTTCCAGTGGAAGACTTCGGGGGACGACGCCCAGATCCTAACCTCACCTATGCTGCAGATCTTGTTGACAGCATGAGAGACGGACAGTATGATTTTGGTGCAGCTTTTGATGGTGATGGGGTGTGTACGTTTTTTTCTTTTTGTTTTTAAGGTTGTATGAATTCAAATAAAATGAAACAGCTGAAAGAATGGATACTTTTCATTCATGTCCGGCACCTGGGTCTGAATGTGAACTGCAGTCCTTGACTTGTAATCTCCGTTTATCTGTCGGCTTTCAAGGACCGCAACATGATCCTTGGTAAACATGGCTTCTTTGTCACCCCCTCCGACTCTGTGGCTGTGATTGCTGACAACATCTTCTGCATCCCATACTTCCAGCACGCGGGAGTAAGAGGCTTCGCTCGTAGCATGCCCACAAGTGCAGCCTTAGACAGGTAAAACCTTACCACTGTCAAAACCATTGAGCTTTTGATTTTCTAACTGGCTCAAAGTCAAATTTACAGCTCTTTAGGATTATAAGATTTAATTGTTGTATATCTATAGATGTGCTGTGAAGTTAGAAATCAACAAATATTTAAGTTTTCTTAGAAAACACTTTTGTTGTATTTCCCTTCAGAGTAGCCAAGGCAACAAAAATAGAGCTATATGAAACTCCAACTGGGTGGAAGTTCTTTGGAAATCTGATGGATGCAGGTCGACTGTCTTTTTGTGGAGAGGAAAATTATGGCACAGGTACTGTATCTCTTCAGCAAGTTATGAGATCAAAAGATGCTCTGTTTTGATTGGAATAGTGTTGAGAAAGCAAAGAATTCTATTATCAGTTATTGCTTCAGTTTTTTTGTGCTCGATAAACTTAATTACATATCATCTTTTAGGTGCAGACCATATTCGGGAGAAGGATGGGCTTTGGGCTGTGCTGGCGTGGCTGTCCATCCTTGCAACCAGAAGGCAGAGTGTGGAGGATATTGTGAAGGACCATTGGATTAAATATGGAAGAAACTACTTCACTAGGTGAGACATGGACACTAACAGTTACACTAATAAACACAAGTGTTGTTTCTGAGTGTGTCTTAATTAGTAGTTATAGTCCATCAACCATAACAGCCCACTGAAAAACAGCATCAATAAAATATTGAAAAACAGGAAATTTATTATATATGACTTGTGCATAAGAAACTATAGACAGAGCATGACTGACATCTAGTGTGACACATTCTTTAAAGTCTTGTTAGTTTTATTTTATGTCTGTGTCATGTCAGATATCTGGCCCATCCCACATAGGATTACAAGACATCATTATTTTTTACAAAAGGTAGCCTACATGTTCCAGTAACATATGAAAAATAAGACAAAACATCACTGTGCTGTTCAGTAAATGAAGATGTAAACTGATGATGTCAGAGATGCAGATAATTATCACCAAGAGCTTTCCAAAATTCCCGGTTGACCTATGTTGACATCGGTAATAACTGTAACCAGGCATATTATCTGTCCATCATAGTAAAGTTACATACAAATAAAAAGACATTCATTGTTAAGAAGTGTACTTTTGGTGAGCAGTGCAGCTGCTCTAGCAAAACATCTTATTAAAAATTAATACCTCTTCAGTCATCTTCAATCACATTTGGACTCTTATTACCCCCTTCATTAAAGCAATGTAAGCTCTATGAGTGGATAAACTCTCCAGTAAACAAGTGTCAACTCCAAATAAAAAGCAACAATTCAAGTCAAGCCCAACCATGTGACAAAAAGTGAACATTAAAACGAAGTTGATATTTTAGCACATACTTTTGGAAGTGGCTGGGAGCTCCAAATCCAGGAATGTAGCCATGCAGAGTGCAGCACCAACAGTCTCAGCAGGGAGGAAGAGGAAGTGAGGGCAGTGTTGCAGGCTAAGGCAGCTCTTAAACATAGGGATACTCTAAGGCAGGTACAGCATGGATGTGGTGGTTTTGGTCTAAACACAACCTTCTCGGAGCAAAGCAGCAGCAGCTGACAGAAGGAAGATGCTTACTGAGGAGATTAGGAGGCAGGAAAAGGCAGGTAGATGTGCAAAAGCAGTCTCCCAGGCTCAGCGGGGACAGTGGATGAGATGGGAAAATGTAAAAGGAAGAAACTTAGTTGGAGGGAAATGTGGGACATGGATTCAGGAAAGATTAGACTCATTCTAGTTGTAACTTATGATGTGCTTCTGTCTCCCCAAAATCTGAATAGATGGATAGGTGAGGACCCGACATGTCCCTTGTGTTCAGGTGTAGCATCATTTCTGCACATCCTCTCAGGGTGTAAAACAAGCCTGGCTCAAAGACAATACACCTGGAGACATAATCAAGTGTTGAAATGTTTAGAGCAGATAGTGAAAGTAGGCACACAGAGGTAAACTTAATGGAGGTGAAGAAGAAACAAGAGGGGATTTTATTTGTTTGTGAGGGTGAAGAAGGCAGGAAGCAGGCCAGCTAAAGGCAGGGTGCGGATTGGCAAATGAAAGTGGAATACTAACACAGGGTGGATTTTGATGAAGTATAAAAAAAAGCAGAAGTCTGGCTAGTTATCCAGTGAGCCATTTGAATGTTTGGTGGCTAGAACAGTAGTTGAAATGTTTGCTAGTGCATGTGACTGTTTGGTAACAATTAGCCTGAGTAGATGAAGGGTTGTGTTGGGTGTGTGGGTGCAGGCAAAGAGGGGGGTGGTTCTGGGATGTTGGAATACACTGTTGAGCCTTCTTGGCGTCATGGGCCCAACTCAATGAAACTCCAGTTAGTGAGAGGGCGCCCACCTGATGACCCTGTGGACTTGCCTTCACTCCTACACCCACACAGAACCTCTGTTGGTGATAATATAGTTACAGATTCACTGGAATTGTTACTAGTCTCCTTCTGTTAGACAGTCTTGGTAGAACAGTGTCAGTGCTTGGACAGCTGAGCGGATCCAGCTCTCAAAGGTGACCACCATTACAAGCCAGTTGGGTCAGCCACTGCTTAACCTGAACAAATACAATGCACATGCTGTGTCAAGCCACATATCTGCCCTTTGCTTGGGTGAGGATAGAGTTCAGAGATGCTTTGTGTAACGGTAGGTTAGGTCTAGAAAATGGTGTTGCTTGTTGTGGGGCTCTGAAGATTTTTGAGGGCATGGCCTGACACCCCCGTCTTTGGGGCCAAATAATAGGTAAACATCATTTAACTTGTAAACTGAGCATCCATATGAATGCTCTCCCAGTCTTTGGCACATTTAAAGGTGTATAATTGACTGAATGTACATTAAAACACTTCTTTTGTTATTAAAATCTGTTGCTCCAGGTATGACTATGAGAATATAGACATAGACACAGCCTGTGAAATGATGGAGGAGTTGGAGATTATGATTACCGACAAGTCCTTTGTGAAGCAAAGGTTTGCTGTGGAAGACAAAATCTACCAAGTGGAAAAAGCAGACACCTTTGACTACACAGACCCAGTAGACAGCACCATCTCCAGGAACCAGGTACAGGACACACACCGATAAGATTATTATGTGTATAGATACAAGACGTATACAGTGAATTCTTTCAGCAACAGACCCACTCAGCTGTGCCTGCAAATCCTAAAAGTATCACGTTTTGTGTCGGGCTGCTTCAACTGCAGGGTCTGCGGATAATCTTCTCTGATGGTTCTCGAATCATCTACAGACTCAGTGGGACAGGCAGCGATGGGGCGACTGTTCGAATCTACATTGACAGCTATGAAAAGGAGCAGGTTTTTGAAGACACACAGGTAGAGTCATTTCGACCAACACAGTAAACAAAACAGTAAGAAAATTAGGAAATGCATCAGTGACACATTGCAGTCAGGTGTTTACATCTCACCATGTCATCCTTGTTTGGGACAGGTGATGCTGGCATCCCTGGCAACCATCGCTCTGAAGATTTCCCAGCTACATCAAAGAACAGGTCGAAGTGGCCCATCAGTTATCACATGATTACTCATGCACATTGCTCCATTGTTGTTACAGTAATGTCCTTTTAGTTTTGTTTCCAGACTTTTGTATGAACTTAAATTCCACATGTAGGTGCATAATATGCATTAGTTTGCATTTTAGACTGAACTATATTCACTGACTGTTTGTACAAGTCATTAAGCAGCTTTTTATTGTTGGTTCATGTGACATGTGTTTTTCTTATAAGATAGCAAATGTTTTGGTCTATGTTAATCTGCCATTGAAATTTGTATCAGAGTCACTGGCAAAATGCAGCAGGGTTACAAAATCATCAGGCCCCAGTGATCACAACAACCAATCATGACACATGTCACAACATGTGGCTTGAACACATTTCCTCTGTTAAACTCTGTGTGTATTTGCACGTATTTTTATGAAATGTGGCTGTGCACACATTTTCAGCTTCATGTTTTTGTATAAAGTAGTGCTGAAAAAACTTTTAAAATGTTGATTTTATAGTTTCTGTGGGAATTTTAACAATAAAATCAAGAACACATACTCTGTTTTCACAGCCTAATAAAATGGCAGTCCTATGGAGAAGAATGTTAACCACCCAGCTCTCGCCTAGCTGTTGCTGCATAGAGTAGAGCTTCCCCCAGCTGTGTATGTGCATGGAGTGCTCAGCAGCACAGCCGTGCACTTTGGCCACAAGGGATCTACATTTATAAAATACTGATAATAAACACAACAAACTGTGAGATATATATGAAATGTATTTACAGTATTTCATTATAAAGCAATGATTAAATAGTTGAGTTTCATCTAAACACTTCTTCCTGCCTAGCATGAGTTTTGATTTTTAAAAAATCCATTACAGTGTCTCACATGAATAATGACTCATTTAAAGTTAAGAAATCATACCTTCTCCTTCATTCAGGGAAGTTAAAACTCATCAGCGAATAATAACCTGAAAGCGAAGTCAAGTGTGCGGGTGCTGCAGGATGCTAGCTTGCTCAACCATACAGTCAGAGACAGATACAAACACATTTCTCTATATCAACATGAACTGTCCTGAAAAATGAGAAAGAGCTACAAAGGATCATTAGAATATTATGGATGTATATCAGTAAATCAGAATACCTTTAAACCCAATTTTATTGTCAAATTGCACAATAATAATAGTTCTACCAGGAAAATTCAGATTTTACTTTTACTATTTTTTAATGCACCCGGGTGAGTCAGGAGCTATTTAAGCTGTAACAGAAAACATTTTGAAAGACACTTATCCGGCTCTGGTGGCTACATGATCGCCATCTGGACAGTAGCAGCATCAGTCCACTAGTCCACTGACATCTGGTCCAGCTCTGTGATCACTCATGCTCTTTGAAGTGCTGTACCTTTCTCGTGCTTTCATCCCCATTTTACACTGAACCTAAACACCAACAAGGAAGACACACTGAGTTTAGTTCTGGTTCATCTAAGGTCATTTTATTGTGGTTTTTAGTTCCAGTAACAATTTTCAGTGGAGGTGGAACCTCAGCTAGAATTTGTACCACTTTATGGAAAAAATAACTTATTTATATATTTTACTGACTTAATTGTTCAGTCATAATTTCTCAATCATTTTTATTTTTAATGTATATAAATAGTAAGTAACATTTTAGAAAGTGTGTTATGTGGAAGTAAAACTTGCATCAACACAGTGCAGAAAATAAATTATGTTAGCGATGTCAGAGTGGAACATGGCTTTGTTCTATTCAGGCATACCAGTATGTAATGACAGAATGACAGCGAGCCGGCATGCATGATGCCAGGTCTCTGAAACTGAAGCTATACTATAAGTGGAATATTCATTATCATTATTAATATACTTCTACTTGTCCTACTGTGACATGTTAAAATGTCTTCTGTGAAAATGGCCTATTTGCAAAATTATTGTCAGGTCTTTCTACTGTCTTTACTAGAGAAATCTAACCTCAAAATTGTAATGCAAATACATGAAGTCCAATCAAAACCTAACAATTAAAGTGGAATGTTGATTTATAATATGGTGTGTATATACTGCATGGAAGTTTATACTGCTTACATATAACACACTGCATAGAAGTATTCAGATCCTTTTCTCTAGTAAAAATAGCAATGCAACAATGTAAAAATACTTAATTACAAGTGAAGGTCAAGCATTCAGAATGTTAGGTATGCGTAGTATAGAGGTATAATCAGCAAACTGCACATAGAGTATCAAAAATGAAAGTACTCATTATAAAGGAAAATAGTTCCTCTTTAGGGTGGCCAATTCCAGTCCTCGAGGGCCGCTGTCCTGCTTGTTTTCCAACTATCCCTGCCTGATCTGCTGCTGATTACCTGGCTCAGGTGTGTTCAGTCAGTCAGAAGCTGGAAGATACCATCTTAGATGAAAGTGGAGTGAGGAAAGATAAAGTGAATTGGTATCTTCCAGCTTCTGTGATTTGATTATGCATATGTTTACAGCTGGAGCTAGTTTGAACTTTGTAATCTGTAACAAGGCAATACATTTTATGACAAGAAAAGAAAATACTATATTTCTATATGAGAAATTGGGAAGTATAAGTATAAAGTATCATATAGTGGAGATACTTAAGTAAAGGAGAAGGACCTAATAATAGTACTATAGTACTTAAGCTACATTACAACACTAATAACACGTGTGGGTTAATTAGCCCCGCAGGAACAGCACTACATGGCCTTGTGCTCGTTGTCGCCGATTTGCAGCAACCACTGGATCAAACTGAATTGACAAGACAAAACAATTTGCCCACAAGTGACTGAAGCAAGGCCATAGACTGCCGCAGGGAGACTGAGCTACTATACCTTTAAGGGGTCACGTGATGACAAAGGAGGAAACCCAAAACGCCATGGAGGAAGCAGGAAGTTCGTGCACCAGAAAAGACAGCTTGAGCACGTAAACAATAGACAAAGAGCAGAACAGAACAGAACAGTCGTCTAAGAGAAAATTTCACATATTTGTCGAAATGGCTGGCATTAAAGGTACTTTATTTTACTCGTTAATATGTCCGTTGACAGTTATATTTATTTAATAATGTATAATTACACGTTCTTCTGTAGCGTGAATGCTTCAGAGACTTTGTTAGCCTAGTTTCCAACACTCTTGAAAATATTTCAAAAGCTGTTAATACAAACGCTATTCGATGATATTAAGATGTGTAACAAGCTATTTATTTTTATTATTAAGATATTGGCCAGTTTAACATCTAAATAGGTTATTGCTATCAACTTCATGTTAATTTAAAGTTAAGCAACTTTCATAGCAAGTTACCAAGCTTGGCGTGATTCTGATTTGTTTACTACTTAATTGCAACTTTGCACAAAAGCATATCTGTCAGTGTACTTCAGTATAATGTTTCTCTTCTTTCAGCATTAGTTGGTTTGTCCTTTAGTGGTGCTATTGGACTGACATTTCTTCTGCTGGGCTGTGCACTGGAACAGTATGGGTAGGTTCTTTTTTATAACAAAGTACTTGTGTTATAGTATGGGTTAGGGTGGAAGAAATGAACAACGGCGGCTAACAAAACAGAGCCCTCAAAAAGCCCTCAGGGGGGCACTCAAGCAATTTAGAATTGCACTTCACTTCCATAAAGCTGAATGACTTTTAAAAAGCACATTTAAAAAAAAAAGGTCTTAACTGATGCAGGAGCTATCTTAAAATTTGGTCCCTTATATTTGTCAGAAATGCTGAATCCTGTATTTCTTATCATGTAGCTCAACATCATTAAAGTCCTTATACCCCTGAAATATTAACTTCTTTTTAACTTCACACATCCAGTATGCATTGCAGACTTTCTGTTAAAAGCTTTCAATCCTAACCCCAAGCTGAGATGACTTTGTTTTTATTGGGGTTATATTTTTTGTCACCAAAGAGATTATATCTGTGGAGAGTTTCTTTAAAATGATTCGTTCTGCTGTGTCTGGTTAAAGTTTTTGGTGGTTTGTTGTGATTGGTTTGAATTGGTTTAGTTTATTTTTATTGAATTTGCACTTATTTATTTTTATGGGACATGTTGCAAACTCATGCAGTTGTCATAAAATGTGAACCATCCTTTGAAAAGTTTCACCCCCCTCTTTTTAGGGTATACTGGCCGCTGTTTGTAATCATTTTCTATGTCCTGAGCCCCATCCCGACCTTCATATCCAGACGCCTCAGTGATGACACCGATTCCTCCAGCAATGCATGCAGAGAGTTGGCCTACTTCTTAACAACTGGCATTGTTGTATCAGCCTTTGGGCTCCCTGTTATCCTAGCCCGCAAGACTACAGTGAGTTTCCTTTGTCCATGTGGAAATATTTTGGAGGTTGATTTGCACAAGTCATTTTTTTCTGCATAGATACATTTATGCTGTTTGCACCATATCAGTAATCATTAAATAGGTATCTTTCACACTGTATCTTGAAAAAGGTGAAGTACTGAAGTTGGTTGAAAGCCAGTAGATGACTGTTAACATATTCTGATCACTTCAGTTAAGAAGTTTCTCTCCTGCAGATCGCCTGGGGTGCCTGTGGTCTAGTGATGACAGGAAACGCTGTCATCTTCCTCACTATCTTTGGCTTTTTTGTTGTGTTTGGAGGCGGTGATGACTTCAGTTGGGAGCAGTGGTAAAGTGTCTTTGGAGAGTGGACAGACAGAAGGAGAAATGGATAGATGGGTGAGTGGGGAGGTGGATAGTTGAATGGATTAACTGCAGACGGAGTGACATCTGTGTCCTGCACTCAAACAACATGTACAGTAAAGGCTGCAAAATACCAGTTTTACTGAGCATGTTATCACATCAATTTTTTTTTGTACAGGAGGGATTATTGTTGGAGAGAACCCCATTTATCCTGTTAATGTGCCTTGTGTGTGGGACCAAACATACACTGATGTCTGTACCCCTCTCATGCTATAACCCTATCACTAGCCACCTTAACCCACATATGTTAGCTTGTCTTGCATTTGTTTCAACCCCCAAATTACCCTTTGTATTAGCTGTCTGTTTTTTCATTATTCTTCTGGTAATCAATATCATAAAGAGATCCTAAACAGTAATTCTAAGTGGCTATATAGATTTATGGCTGGCTTATTATGAGCACTGTTGCTGTTTAAAATATAAAGGCAGGGCAAGTTATCTTAAATCATGCTATCTGACAAATAGTTGTAGGACTTCTAATCAGGTAAAAAGTATATATATTTGTATGGAAATGTGTATTTTTGTTGTCAAGACCTTAGAGCCTTACCTTTTGTTCTGGTGCACTTGTTTACATTCTCACCAAAGATCATTTTAAACCACAAAAATGGGGCATATTCACCACTGAGCTGTGGTTTTGATCTGTGCTATGCAACATCAGAATCCTCAAAAGCCAGCACAGGCATTTGAGATAGCGCTGTTTAGTGTATATCATACATATATCTATTATTGTGTGCATAGTCCAGCCAACATACCTATATTTGTTTTATTCTCTGGAGATGGAAAAGAAATTCATAATATTGACAAAAGATCACATTGTTAATTTGTGAGTTATATTTTTACACGTTGAATGTTAAGTACTGTACCTGTATGTTTTTAGACCAGGTGTACTTCATTCTGTATAGACAGGGCTTTACCAGCACACTGATTTATAATTGCCTGTGCTAACTGTCAGTGGAACAATCACTGGGTTTGAGATTCAAGTCTATTGTGTTTCATCAGCAGCAGCCACTGAAATCTGTACTAAATCAATGTTACATCCTCATGTCGTATTTCAACATCAGTAGTAACTGAGGTTTGTATGATTAGCCCACTTCAGAGACTATCACAGATACTGTATGTTTTCAAAATTGTGCTTATTGCCCTATATATTTTCTTATGTCCTTAATATCTGATGTACGACTTCTTTAACTTCTTTACATACATATTTAACACAGTTTTTGGGAAGAAAATGTGCTTCTCATATTCACACTTTGAAAACACTAATGAGTATTGAAAAACTCCCAAAGGTTATTGTGTAAGCACCTGACTCCACTTTGTTTTCTAACATTGATTAAAAGTTTGTGTAAAGTGAAACATGTAGGGGCTGTGTCTCACTGTTCACTGTTTATGATATGATGACAAACATGAATCTTACGGTGGTGGGTGAAATGAATGGAGAACTTGATTTGACTTCTGTAAAGCTTGTCTGTCCAGTGCTGATGAATGATGCATGAAAAACACCTGCCCGCTATTTATACAGTACAGCAGCAGTAGTTCAGTGAACCTCAATAATGGCCTCCCATAAGACAAAAGACTAGAAAAGGAGAAGTGGTATGTGGGTGAGTGTGTTTAAACTTAGATACATTTCTGTCTGTCCAGAGTCAACACTAGGCCTGACTGACAGAAATTCATTTTGGAACAGCTGCTAAATAATATAGATGTTTTGCAGTATTCAACAAACACTATGTAAAACAGCTCTACAGTATGTTTTGCAGCCTATAATTGTTCTTGAAAACCATCACTTCACCTCCCCTGTCTGCTTTGCTCTTTCCAAACACACAAATATTAATACAGATCAACAATAGCAAGCCACATTACAAGATCTATTCAGGATTAAATATGATAGAGAAACCAACCATGCAGCTGCACACAACCTGAGTGGTTTAATTTCATTCTCTGTTCACTTGTAACAGGAATGCACTGAAGCTTGCTACCAATTTGCACATCTGTATTCTCTGCAGTGCTACATGAAAAGCACTTATAAAGGTGTGTAGGTGCAATATAACTATGTATGATGTCTGTATGGCAGGGAAATTCTTGTTTTTTCAAGCTCATAAGTAATCAGATGACACACATTATAGATACCAGCTTTCATCAAACTCGATTTGACAGTTCTAGGTGAAAGGTTATCCAATCAGAATCGTTGTCCCACCCCCAAGCCCCCCACCCTCGGTGAAACTGACTGTGGTCCACCAGAGCTCACAGCCACTGGTTGTGTTGTCTACTTTACCTCTACCTACAGCTGCTTTCAGAGCTGATCAAACTGCCATAAAATGCAAAAACAGACACAACGTATATCCCTGTGGTAGTAATACACGTATGTCTGTGTGAATCTTGTTCGTTTGGAGAAACTGTAACTTAACAGTGACAGCGGTGAGGTCAGACTGACTTTACCTGCTGCGTAAATCCGTTTTCAGATAGGACGCGGTGGGCGCTGCACTCCACTATCAAACCCATTCATTTCTATGTTGCGTCCACCAGAGCCCACAGCCACTGGTTGTGTTGTCTACTTTACCTCTACCTACAGCTGCTTTCAGAGCTGATCAAACTGCCATAAAATGCAAAAACAGACACAACGTATATCCCTGTGGTAGTAATACACGTATGTCTGTGTGAATCTTGTTCGTTTGGAGAAACTGTAACTTAACAGTGACAGCGGTGAGGTCAGACTGACTTTACCTGCTGCGTAAATCCGTTTTCAGATAGGACGCGGTGGGCGCTGCACTCCACTATCAAACCCATTCATTTCTATGTTGCTTGGTGCAAGAACATATCTGCACTGCGCTGAGCTGAGCACAGCACAAGGTTGCATGTGTCGCCCCTGCAGGCTGCACCAATGTTAAATAACTAGCTTATTTACCTTGTAATGTTTTGAATATTATTTGTGAAAGTTTGACCATGTTACTGTTCCATTTTGTATGACGCAAATCTCTAAGTTTTACTTTCCTGCTGGGTATAGTGTCAGTTCCTTCTTATGTCAACTCTAGGAAAAACGGTCAAAGTGTTTATTTGTCATATGCACAGTTAAGAAACGTGTTTCCCTGTACAATGAAATTCTTACTTTGCCGTCCACATGAATGCCACAAAATACAAATGAAATATAAAGTAGATAAATAAGTAACACAAAATCTAAGGCACTTTAAGCAGCAGTATAATAAAAATATATAAGAATATAACAGAGAATGTATGCTACATGGGAGCTGCATGTGCAGCAGTCAACAGTCAACGTGCAATTATGCATGTGCAAACTGAGAATGCAAACAGTACAGGTCGACAGTACATGACGTATTTCCTGGTAGTAAACTCCTCAGGTGTTTAGGAGTCTGATGGCAGAGGGAAAGAAAGAG